CAGTGTACCTGTTGCAGATGTGTCTGTCCACATGTGTTTTGATAGGGATGACTTCACAATCCTTTGTGTGATAAAGTCCCTTTTCATATTGAGAACATCTTTTATCGTTTTATGTAGCACTATTACTGTGTTAAATGGGATTGATTTTGAACATATCTAGTAACTGAAGTCTGGGTATCCATGAGGTGCAGTGGGCCATCAACAGCAACAGAACCATACTCCAACACATGCTACAACTTTGTGGCCGGCATATCCCCACTCTACTATTGCTGTTAAGCCAGGAGATCAACCCTAGTTCAATGAAGAGTGTGGGAGGACATGCCAAGAGCAGCACCAGGCATATCTAGAAGTGAGACATCAACTCGGTTAAGCTACAAACCAGGACTGCTTCTATGCCAAACAGTGTAAGCAGCAAGTGATAGACTGAGCTAAGTGATCTCATGACTAAAAGATCAGATCTAAGCTCTGCAGGCCTGCCATATCCAGCTTCGAATGATAGTAGACAAATAAACAAGTTACTTGTTTATGAAAAATTTTTTTCTGAAGAAGGGTCTAGACCCGAAACGTCAGCTTTCCTGCTCCTCTGATGCTGCTTGACCTGCTGTGTTCATCCAGCTCTACACCTTGTTATCTCAGATTCTCCAGCATCTGCAGTTCCTACTATCTCTGAAACAATTTTGGCCTCCTTCTGAGGTCCCCAGAATCACAGATGCCAGTCTTCAGCCAATTCGATTAATTTTACTTGATATCAAGCAACAGCTCACAGCAACAGATATTGTCGTCTATTGGCCCTGACAACATCCTGCCAATAGTACTTCTGTTCCAGCGCTAACTTCATCCCTAGACCAGCTGTTCCAGTTTGGCTACAATACTGGCACCTACCAGATGATGGATAAAATTGCCCATGTATGTCCTGCAGACAAAAAGCTGGGCAAATCAACCCAGTCTGTTCCTGCCCAATCAGTTTACTCTTGATCATCAAAGTGATGAAATGTGCCATCTACAGTGCTATCAAATGGCATTTATTTAGCAGTAACCTGCTCATTGACAACCAGTTTGAGTTCCGCCAGGGCCACTCAGCTCCTGATCTCACTCACAGCTTTGGTCCAAGAATTAAGATTCCAGAATTGAGGTAAGAGTGATGTCCCTGACAGCAAGGCTACATTTGACAGAGTGTGGTATCAAGGAAACCAAGCAAAACTGAAGACAGTAATAATCAGGGAAGTCATTCTTTAGTTGGAGTCATAGCTGACACAATGGAAAATGGTTGTGGTTGTTGGAGATCAGTCATCTCAGCTCCAGGATATCTCTGCAGAGTACTCTGCATCCGCAGAGTAGTACACCAGGCCCAACCATTTTCAGCTGCTTCATCAATGACCTTCCCTACATCATAAGGTCAGAAGTGGGGATGTTTGCTGATTATTACGCAATCTTTACTATCATCCATGACTCCTTAGATACTGAAGCCAGTCTGTGTCTATATGCAGCAAGACCTCAGATTTCCTGAGTATAATGGCAAAGTGTTGATTTTTAAGTCAGAGGGATAAAGGCTGCTGAGATGGAAAAGGCACTGACCTTTCATCTTTGCACCTCACTTTCTTATATGTTGCATGTTCTAAGTCCAGACCGATACATTGCAAAGAATATTTGTGCTACATAAGTACCAGGAAATGACCATCACCAAGAGAAAATTAAAGTTCATCCCTTGATATTCAGTGGCATTACAATTATCAACAGCACACCATTGACTAGAAAATGAACTGAATGGGATATATAAATAATGTAGTTACAAAAGCAAGCTAGAGGCTGGGATGTCTATAGAAAGTAATTCACTTCTGACTCCCCACATCTTGTCCGCCATCTACTAGAAGTGCAATTGAATACTCCCCACTTGACTGAGCTCCAAAAACACTCAAGAAATTTATTCTATTCAGGGAAAGGCAGCTGGCTTGATAAATGACCTGGCTTCACCTCCACCATTCACTCTCTCCATCACTGATACACAATGGCAGCAGCGTGTATTATCTACAGGTTGCACTGTAGCAACTTATCAAGGCTCCTTCAACAATAACTTTCAAACCTGAGGCCTTTACCATCTAGAAGGACAAGGGCAGAAGATACTTGGGAATTGCAAATTCCTGCAAGTTCCACTCCAAGCTATACATCATCCTGACTTAGAAATATATCATGTTCCTTCAGTGATGCTGGTCAAAATCCTGGAATTCCCTTCCATGAGGCCCTGTAGGTGCACCTGATTTGATTTGATTTATTGTCATGTATACCTAAGTACAGTGACAAGCTTTGTTTATGAGCAGTACAGGCAGATCATTGTAAGCAAGAACATAAAAATCATAGAGTGATTAAAAAAACTAGATAGAGGCATACAGGTTACATCGCACCGGGTGAGTGCTGGGCAAGGTCAGCATTAGTAAGATCAGTATTTTTTGAAGTTAGAGAGTCCATTCAGCAGTCTAATAATGGTGGGGAAGAAGCTGTTCTTGCACCTGCTGGTGCATGTGTTCAAGCTTCTATGTCTTCTGCCTGATGGAAGCTGTAGGAGTGCATTACTGGGGTGGGACAGATCTTTGATGATGTTGGCAGCTTCTCTGCAGCAATGAGTCATGTAAATTGAGTCCATGGATGGAAGATTGGCTTCCATGATGGCCTGGGCTGTGCACACAACCTTCTGTAGTTTCTCATGGTCCTGGGCAAAGCAGTTGCCATACCAGGCCATTATGCACCCAGACAGTATGCTTTCAATGGTGTATCTGTATGAGTTGGTGAGGGTCCTTGTGGACATGCCAAATTTCCTGAGCCGCCTGAGGAAGAAGAAGTGTTGTTGTGCCTTCTTGACCATCATACCTCCATGGGAAGTCCAGGATAGGTGATCAGTTATCGTCACTCCCAGGAATTTGACGCTCCTAACCCTCTCAACCTCAGTTCCGTTGATGTACATGGGGTGTGTTTTCCTCTTTTCTTTCTGAAGTCAATGATCAGTTCTTTAGTTTTGCTGACATTGAGAGAGAGGTTGTTATCATTGCACCATGTTACCAAGCCCTCTATCTCCTTCTGTATTCTGCCTTGTCGTTGTTTGATATCCATCCTACCATAGTGGTGTCATCGGCAAATTTGTAGGTGCCGCTTGTTCGGAATTTTGCAACACAGTCATGGGTGTACAGGGAGTACAGTAGGGAACTGAGAGTGCATCCTCGAGGAGTTCCACTGATAACTGTTATCGTGGAGCATGTGCAGTTGTCTATCTTCACTGATTGCGGCCTGTGGGTCAGAAAGCCGAGGATCCAGTTGTAGAGGGCGGAGCCAAGACCTAGGTCTCGGAATTCTGAGATCAGCCTGGAAGGGAAAATAGTACTGAAGGTGGAGCTGTAATCAATGAGCAGGAGTCTGACGCAGGTGTCCTTGTTGTCCAGATGTTCCAGGGATGAGTGCAGGGCTAGGGAAATAGTGTCCGCTGTGGACCTATTATGTCAGTAGGCAAAGTGTAGAGGATTAAGGCAGATTGGGAGACTAGAGTTGATATGGACCATGACCAGCCTCTCGAAGCATTTCATAATTATGGAGGTCAGAGCTACTGGGTGGTAATCATTAAGGCACATTGTCTGTGCTGTCTTTGGTACTGGGATGATGGTGGTCTTCTTGAAGCAGGTGGCGACTACAGCTTGTAGGAGAGAAGAGGTTGAAGAGGTCAGTGAATATGTCCACAAGCTGGTTCACACAGGACCTAAGTGCTCAGCCAAGGCCTCCATCTAGGCCCGTCTCTTCCCTTGGGTTGACTCTCAGGAAGATGAATCTGACAGCTGCAGCTGTGACAGTGGGCACAGGTGTATCTGGGGCTGTTGGCTGTCAGACTTCACACTGTGAACTGCAGCAGTTCAAGAAGCTGGATCATCAAGGATAATTAAAGATGGACAATAACTGATAGACATGATAAAGATTCCCACATCCCAAGAATTAATAAAAGAAGCAGAGTGAAGAGGAATTGCATTTTAGTGCATTTTAGTTAAGGGTAACAAGACAGCATGACCCACCATTCAATAAAATACATGTGAGCTCTCAAAGCTATTTCTAAAGATTACCAAGCAAGCCGAGGAACAGGAGAAAGTCATTCAGCCCTTTCAGCTTACTCCACCATCCAATCTCTACCTTAACTCCATTTACCTGTCTTTGGTACCCTTACCTAACACAAATCTCAGTCTCAGGCATTTTAATAAGTTTTATTTTCTAATATATCTATGTCTATCTGTATTTCTAATGTGAAATACTGAAATTGAAAAGTGCATGCAGGGCTGCAGTGCAGGAAGTAATGTTTGTAAATGGAAGTTTGTGCTGTAGATAGTTTGTGATGAGGAATCAGATTTTGCTGCTTTGTGCATTTCTGACTGGATTACTTTCCTGTGTCAGCAGTTTACCACAATATTTCATCTTACTCATTTTTTTTGTCAGTGATGTCTCTCAGATTGAGCTTTGAAGTAAGAATCTTTTCAAACCTAATCTTTATCTTTGAGTGCATTGAGTGTGTAACATTCAGTCAGCCTAAACACAATACTGTCCTCATTTTCTGTGAATCTTCAGCCTTATGGGCCAGCAGTATACAGGTGACGGGTGTTGCTCAGGGTCTTTGTAGAGCGGATGGTGTAGAGTACCATCAAGGGCTTGCCAGTGGCTGTAAACTATGGTGGAAGAGTAATCAGCCAGAGAAGGTGATAAAAGCACAAACCCTCTCCCCATACAGGAAACAGCATTCTTCTTACCTGGCCCCTCTGTAATTTTAACAATCTCCATACATTTTCCAAATCTTCGTGTTTGCAATCCTGCCCTATCACAGTCTCCAATCAGTCCCACTGATGATATACCTGCAATAACATGGCTCCAGCCATTGCTATACTATTGACTTTGCAAAGGGTAACTAGAAGCCTTACCATATTTGCAATACAATTTTCAAACCATCAGAAGAGTTCCAAAAACAAGCCATAAAAACTTACCAGAAATCTCTGCCCAGTAATACCATTCTTTTTAACAACTTTTTCACAGTCTTTCCAATCCAGCTGTTGGTCACAAACACAATGAGAAAATTAGCTTTCATGTATTTCAAAATAATATGAGAATCAAGAAATTCATTCAGCTGTAGTCACTTGTATCTCAATTGGTAGCACTCTTGCCTCTGTGTCTCAAGGTTTGTGATTTCAAATCCCACTGCAGAGCACATAATCTGCACTGGGAACTGAGGTACTGCTGCCCTGTCAGTTGCTTCAGGTGAATGTATAAACTTCCATGGCACTTTTTTGACAGGCATTATTGATTATTCAAGAAACATCAACAAAGCAAATGATATTGTTCTTGTCACAATGCTGATTGCAGGATTTTGCTCTGCAGAAATTGTACTTTACAACAATGACTGCATGTTGAAGACACATTTAATTGTCTGTGAAGTGGTTAACTGCAAGTTCTTTTTTAAGATTGTGTCATCAGATGTTGATCTTAAAGGAGTGGGTGCCTTTGAAGGGGGTGATAAATTCTTGACAAAAGAATAAGGACTTTTACACTTAATGGTTTCCACCATTCCTTCAGTTTACACTGTGGAAGCTTATTTCTGATGAACAGATTCTCACTGTAAAGAGGAGCTTGTCAATGCAAAATAGGAAACTCCATCTGTGCTATGGCAAACAAAGAGGCAGTGATGCAGGAGAGGCTGGGAGATGTGAATGATATTGGAAGGGAAAGGCTGAGAAGAAGGGTGTTAAATGCTTGAGGTCACCTGAGAAGAAGGAGGAGGTTTCTATAAGGTTCTTTACCTCCACCAGTGAATCTTCAGCCTACCTGTCATGCGGTAGCTGTGGGAAGTGGCTTCCAGCAAGCCAGACCTGAGAGTATATTGCATACAAAAACAGAAATTTCTCAGAAATCTCAGCAGGTCTGGCAGCATCTGTGGAGAGAAATCAGAGTTAATGTTTTGGGTCCAGAGACCCTTCTTCAGAACTGTGAATATATTGACTAGGAACAGAGACCTTTCCTTCACCCAATATGGATAGCACAGGAAGGGAGAGCACTGAGGGGAAAGTAAGGGGAAAGGTTGGCTGTGTAGAGAATACTAAGAGGTGATCCAGACTTGGTGGTGGTTTGGGGTGTTGGGAATATTTTGGTGATGAGGCTACAGGCTGTATTACACAAATCTCACCCCACACCACCCCCCCACTCCCCGCCCCCTTTCTTCACCGTGATCCTTGGCAGGAATGATGAGAAGGACGCTCTGAGAGAGAGGCATAGTCATGTGTTGATACTGCACAGCATAGACAATGCAATAATGCAGTAAACTGATACACAGGCTTTTATTTAACATACAGATGATCATTGAAAATTAAATTTTTATACCGAACATGTCTAATAACAAAAGGAGCTGTATATTTATCATAACATTGTAACTGCTTGATTTGTTTGTAGGGGAGTGCCGTGCAGATTGATCAGATTGACACTTGCTTTGCGAGTTAAATTATGAGGTCAGGTTGTAAACGGTAACCCCTTAATTTTTGACTATTGAGAGCTGTGTTGATCGAGATATTTAAAACAATAAAAACATTCAAGAGAAGATGTAAAAAGATTGATTATAGGTGGGAGCATCAAGAAAAAGGGAGCATAATTTTGATATTACAGTCAAGCCAAGAAAGGTGTCTTGGAAGAAGGAGGAGGTTTCTACAAGGTTCTTTCATTCCACCAGTGGATCTTTAGCCTCCATATTATTGCAGGTGTTTCATCAGTGGGACTGCTTGGAGGCTGTAAGAGGGCAGGATTGCAAACATGAAGATTTGGAAAAAATATGGGGATAATTACAATTACAGAGGGTCCAGGTAAGATGAATGCTGTTTTCTATATGGGGAGAGCTTCCATGTATTTCAAAATAATATGAGAACCAAGAAATTCATTCAGCTGCAGTCACCTGTATCTCCATTGGTAGCATTCTCGCTTCTGAGTTGGAAGGTTTGTGGTTTCAAATCCCACTGCAGAGACTTGAGCATGTAATCTGTGCTGGGGAACTGAGGTGAAATCAGAAGCTATGTTTCAAAAAGAGGGGTTAGTGGAGACCTTGTTCATTTAAAAGGCTGCAAATGTTAATGGGAGCTTTCAAAGGAAGAATTGTTGATTTCAGTTGGATCAGGATAACAACTTGGAGAAAAGTTGGGAATATGAAGTTGCAGAACAGCTGAGTTGGGAATGAGTGAATGGCAGAATACACTTGAGGGGCTGAATGCTGTAGTGATTAGAACAAGGTCAGACAGGTGGATTTCACAGAATATGAGTTCACTCACCGGGGCTGTTAACCTGGTCCATTCAGGGAGTTCTGGCTGACAGATATAAACAGGGGTGTCAGGGGTTATGTTCAATCTAGGAGCAAGCTCTGAGCTAGCTGTGTCAGTGTCTTGTACTGTGCCCTTGTAAAGAAAGGGTGACTTGATGACAGGAAACCGGCCTTTGTGGAGTTATTTCAAATGTCTTCCTTCTGCTGCTATGTTATCCTGAATCTGTGTCATTATGCTACTACAGCTGTCTTCTGTCTTCCAGTTTTATGGCAACAACAAATAGCATTTATAGAGCACCTAGGGGAAAAAAAAGGTCTCAAGATGATTCACAGAAACTTCGTCAGGCAAAAAATGGATTCTAAACGGTGATTAAATTGGCGTGATGCTTTAGGCAGGGAGATGAGTGTTGACACAGGATATTTTATGGAAGAAATTCCTGAGTGTGGGGCCTAGGATCTGTAAGGCATGGCTGTCAGTTGTGGGGCAAAGGGAAGAGGGATAGACAAAGAGCTGGAGTTAAAGAACCGAAGAGTGTGGGAATGAGTTAAAAGGGTGAAAGATAATATAGAGATAGGGAGGCAACAGTCCATGAAGGGTCTTAAATGTAAGATTGAGAATTTTAATTTGTTGGGGCATGGGGAGCCACAGATAGATGTGATGAATGTATAGTGTTTGTGTGGAATAACATACAGATTCAGAGTCTTGGGATCATCTGAAGTCAATGAGGGTCAAAATGAGAGGCTTGATCAGGAAGATCTTGGAATAGTTCACTGTGAAGATTATGAATGAGAATTTCAGTGACAAGTGGGCTGTGGCAGAGGCAGAGGTGAAAAATATTAATGAGAAAGTATGCAATATTTGTTAGGGAGAGTAGATATGATCGGTTAGCTCAGCTCAGGATGAAATAGGACACCATAGTCTGGTTCAGCATGAACTAACGGCCAAGAAGGAGAATGGAATCAGCAGTTCAGGAACAGAATTTGTTACTGCACCAAATATGCTGATTTCCTTATTCAGGAAATTATAACTCATTGAGACGCCTGACATCAGAAAGGAAGAGTAGGAAGATTGAAAGTAATGGTGGAGAGTGGAGCTACATGTTCTGTTCACAACAAACTGACTCTGTGTGATAAACGGCCTAATTTTATCACGTAAGTGAGTGAGATTTGAGTGAGTTAAAATCAGGCCTCACTAGTCTTTGGCTGATATTACCAAGGGACAGAAGATGAAGAAGGAACCTCATGACAGATAGACCTCCAGATGTAATTCAGGAGCAGGAAGAAAAGTTATTTATGGAGATACCTTGTCTACCAATGAATAAGAGAGAGCAGAATTAAGAAAGAGTCAGCTGACTCTGGAGAGGATGTATTGACAGTGGTGTAGTTCATCATGGCAAAGTTGTAGTGATGTCATGGAGGACAAAGAAGGATTATTTATGATGACCACTGTCACAGTAGAGGATGCATTTTATGACTTTGAAAGGGGAAACTATATGGGGATAGGAATGAGGTGCTGCAGGAGACAATCTAATACACTGAAGACATGTTCAAATCAATGTGGCAGCTGGTATAACTAAAACTTACATAATAAAATCTGGAACTGAAATTTAGTTTCATTAATGGTGAGCACTACACTATTATTGACAATTGTATGAACCCATCCAATTTACTAATGTCCTGAGGGAAGGAAAACTACTATCCTTATTTGGACTGACCTGCATGAGACTCCAGACTATAGCAACGTGGTAAACTCTGAACTTCCCTCTACAATGGCCTTGAAAGCCAGTTAGTTCAAAGGAATTAGGAATGGGCAATAAGTCCATGTCTTGCCATTGCTGCCTATATCCCATGAAAGAATAAATAAAGAAAGATGGCTTTCTCTGTGACCATGTGAAGTAATAATGACGAAAGGGTGGTAATGAAGATGGGTTGGGCAGTTTATATGGAGGAAGAGGTCAGGCAATGACAGGAAGTCAGCAAAATTAGAGGAGGGATAATAGGGAGAGTTGAGAAAGAAGTTGAAATTGAGATAACTGCAGAAACTGAAGGGGTAATCTAGGACATAGATTAATGGATGTCGTGGAACGAACATTAGGCAGGTAGCTCAACCTGAACAGACTGCATGGGACAATTTTCTGGAGAAAATGGGTACTGAACAAAGTTCATTGTTTACATGAACAGATGTTTGGCTTATCCATTTCTGACTCAGATCGTTGTATCAATTTGAAAGAGAATCAGAGTCTAAGAATCGGGGAGATTCCAGGATAGATGGACGAGGTGGATTCATTGGTGAAAGAGGAAACAACATCTCATGTCCTTCCAAGACTAGGGAGCCTGAACAACATTAGGTTTTGGTTCAACATTGTAGCCAAATCTCAGCAATGTTTGGTTAGGTTGCCAGGAGGCCTTTGCCTCAGGGCTCAATTTTACACATTGAAAATATGGCTATGCTTTTTCCTTCTGTTAGCTTGTGGCCTGTCATGGTTTCCCCTGACCTATTAGCGATTGCTGGCTGAGTCTGGTAGATTTCTGCAAACTCTTTTATTCACGCTTATGTACATAATATGTTTCCTGCAAGTACATTTCTCACTATAACAGGCTATTCCATCTTTTCTTCACAATCTCTTGTATCTGATTGCTGATGTCACTGTAACATCACAATATATATCCATTATGCAACAACAGCATCTGTTAAACTGTTCTTTAATAGGAAGAGATTTATAATTATCTCACTTCTCTATGATGTATTACCAACCTTCAGGAGGAGTCAGGGATCAGCACTTTAAAATCCTATTTCAACCATCCCTCAACATCAACTGAGCCTACCATTGACATGATCATAAGCCAGCGAATACTCTTAATGCATCAGTTACCGATAGTTAAAAGCTTTCCATGTGAAATCGTTTGGTGGGCAAAAGGGCCTGTTCCTGTGCTGTGTTGTATTATATTTAAAACTAGGTCAGAGATGTGGTTGAATGAAAGAGAATAAAGACCTATGGGGACAAGACAGGCAAATGGAATTACAACCATTAATCATATGATGACTAAACAGGAAGGTAGGGAGGCTGGCATCGATGGCCTGCTTTACTGTATGTTATTTCTGCGTAATTCATAGAACACAGAACTGTACAACACAAGAACGGGTTATTCGACCCACGACGTTGTGCCAAACATGATGCCAAATTAAACAAATCCTTTCTGCCCGCCCTTGCTCCATATCCCTCCATTCCTTGTATATTCATGTGCTTGTCTAAAAGTCCCTTAAATGCTCCTATCGTATCTGCCTCCACCACCACCCCTGGCAGCGTGTTCCAGACTCCTACCACTCTCTGTGTAAAAACCTTGCCTCTCACAACTCCTTTGAACTTTCCCCCTCTCACCTTAAAGGCATGCCCCCCAGCATTAGAGATCTTAACTCTGGGAAAAAGATTCTGACCATCAGAATGTATTATTTCTGTACCGATATATAAAATTAATAATTATTCATTCGAAACATTCACATGCAACTGACAGAGACACCTTGCTCATTAAATCCAAAACAGACATGAGATTATTTTAAAAACAAATGTAGCAATTTAACTTAGAGCCACATTTTCCATGTTCAAACACAAGAACTATAACTTCATATCGTAACATTTGTCTCTGGCTGGCGACAGGACAAGTACTACTAAGGCAATTTCAGGACTTGTTTCATGAAACAATTTTTCTTTTGGAATAGTTTCTTTTAAATCCATTTTGCAACATATTACTATGAGTAGTTGTTGGAAACTAGCTGCTGATTTAAGCATTTTTATTGCAAAATCTTTTAATCAACAGAATGAGTTGATTTAGGGCGTAAACTGACAGTGTTTCTAAACTTTTTGTTAGAGTTAAAATCTTTGAAAATAAAAAAAAATGGCCTTTAGCAAACATCGTGGTTTATCTTTTCAATCAACTGCAAGAGTTGGCATTTATATAACTTCTTTAATGTAGTGAAACATCCCAAGAAGCTTCACAGAAGCATTTCAAAAAAACTTTGATATTGACAACTTTAATGATATGAGATCAGGTGGACCAAAGTTTGGTTAAAGAGGTAGGTTTCAAGGAGTGGCAAAGTTTGGGGATGGAATTCCAGAACTTATGGCACAGACATTAAAAAACAATCATGGAGAGACAAAAATTGGAGATGCTGAAAAGGCCAAAATTGGAGGATCAGTGAGATCGGAATGATTTCTTCTGCTGGAGGAGCATCTAGATCGAGGAACAGCCAGGGCATTGAAGAATTGGAAAACAAGAATGAGGATTTTAAAATCAAAATGTTGCTGCACTGGGGGCAATTGTAAGTCAGCGAGCAAAAGTGTCCAGAACTTAGTGCGAGTTAGGGCATGCAGCAGAGTTTTGGACAAGCTCAAGTATACAGAGGACCGAAGATGGGAGATTGGCCAAGAAAGCATTGGAATAGTTGAATCTAAAGGTAAAAAAGGCATCAACAAAGCTGATGATCACATTAATACATGGAAATGTTAAACAAAGAACTTTTTGAACTTTAAAGAAAATACAACTTCCCGACATTGGTGTTGAAAAAAAAGGCATACTACCACATTCTAATATTTTAAAGCGAAACTTTGATATAATCATTGCCAATCATTGAACTGCTTAAAGTTTTACTTTGCACATCAGCCAGATAATCATTCCACGCAGCTAAAAAAAGCATTATTCACGGAGATCAGTAGAATACAAGGAAGAACAAAAGCGTCTTTGGCTGTACCTACCATTCTGAAATAGTCAGCCAAATGATTTGGGGACCACTGAAGTACATCGTTACGATTTGGAAGGTTTCTGAAAGCCATCGTTTTGCACCCAAGTCTCCAGTTATTTTTCGCTTAATTTCATGTTATAACATATAGCTGAGAAGAATAATGGGTCTTTTCTCTTCCTGTCACACACCACAACCTTCACAGTACCTAGAAAGGAAGTGCGTAGGGTGCTGATCAATGATTATAATGAATAAGGTACTTCATTTGGTAAACATTTGGTTTACTTCTTAAAATAATTAAATGTAGGCTGAAAAGTAAATGCTAATGATAGACTTTGAAGTGAAACTGTACCATTGCCTCCTGCTGAATGTTATTTTGAGAAAATCAACACTGAAATGGATTTGACTAACTTCCTTTGTCACTTCCCCTCTTTATTCTACAGAAATTCAGCAGAAACTGTCCTCTCCCATGATTATACCAGACTTCAGTAAGGTACTTCAAGCTCTGATCATGACACAGTGAACTTAACTAAATGCGAGAGGCGCATGTTTTGCTCAGCAGTGCAGAAAGACCAACTCTCTGGAGACGAAATCCCAGTCATTATTTGCTTTTTAAAAGGTGTACGATTAAGATTGAATCTCACACTCCCACACATTAAAGAAGAATGAACAGTGAGGAATTATTTTCAACCTGGAATTTAACCTCAGCCACAGTAGTTGTGTGATTATGTTGCTGATCTACAGGCTTGGCACAATCAGCTGGAGAATGTGGGGTCAGATCTCATCATCACAGTCTGATCATTTGAACTCAGTTTTGAAATTCTAGTAATAAAGCTGTAACTTTAAGTAAATGTTGCCTGGAAGTTAACAATTGTCATTGAAAACCCAAGAGGTTTATTTATTTCCATTTGGGAAGGAAACTGGGTGTGTTTATAGAGTCTGATCTAAAAGTAACTGAAGTCTAATGTCCGACCCGAGAAATTATGTTAAAACGATTAGTTCAAAAAGACAGTTCACCATCAGCTTCTCAGTGCAACCAGGGATAGGCCAAACTTAACAGTGATGTCCATGGCCAAGAGTGAATTTTGGAAAATCAAGGGGTGCAGTGGATTTATGACCAGTATATTGGATTATATTGATTGGATTTTATTTGAGGTTTCTGATGGTTTCAGTATAGAATATTTGAATTGTTGTTTATTAGCTTTCGAGAGTCAGATAGTTTCTGGAGAGAAAAGGGCACAGGCCCACAAATAAAATTCAGGAACTATTTTAAAGTCATGCCTCTAGTGCTCATAAAATTCTCAAAAACATGCGTATACATACATTTTCTGTTAACATTTGCAGGTATTGGCTCTGACAACATTCCAGGAGTCATGCTGTGAAGATTTGTGCTCCAGGACTTGCTGCACCCCTAGCCAAGCTGTTCTGGTGCAGCTACAACACTGGAATCTAACTGATAATATGGAAAATTTCCCAAGTGTGTCCTGTACACAAAAAGCAGGTCAAATCTGACCTGGCCAATTACCATCCTATCAAGCTACTCTCGACTATTATCAAACTGACAGAAAGTGTCATTGACAATGCTAGCAAGTGGCACTTGGCACTCAATTTGAGTTCCACTGAGCTCAGTCAACTCCTGGCCTCATTATAGCTTTGATCCAAACACGGACAAAAGACCTGAAACGTAAATGGTACAGTGAGAATGATTGCCCTTGACATTAAAGGCAATATTTTACTAAACTTGGTACCTTATCAAGGAACCCTGTCAAAACTTAAGTCAATGAGAATCATGAGAAATCTTTCATCTGGTCGGAGTCACACCCAACACAAAGAAAGATGGCTATGGTTGTTGGAAGTCAGTCATCTCAGCCGCAAGACCTCATTATAGTTCTGAAGAAGGGTCACTGGACTCGAGACGTTGACCCTGTTGACTCAGATGCTGACAGACTAGCTGAGTTTCATCAACAATTTCTGGTTTTGTTTGTGTCAGATCTCCGGCATCTGCAGTTCTTCGTTTGATATTACATCACGAGAGGATGTTTGCTGATGACTGCTCAATGTTCAGCACCATTTGCAACTCCTCAGATACTGAAGCAACTCGTTTCCAATGCAATAAGACCTGGATAGATTTAGGCTGACAAGTTGTAAATAACATTCACATCATACAAGTGCCAGGCAATGGTCATCTCAAAAAAGAGACAACCTAATCATTGACCTTGACATTCAATGGCATTAGCATCACTGAATCCCCCACTATCAACATACTGAACATTGTTTAGGAATTGATCTGGACTAGCAATACAAATGCTGTGGCTATAACAGCAGGTCAAAGGCTGAGAATTCTGCAACAAGTAACTCACCTCATGTCTCCCCAGAGCCTGCCACCATCTACCCAGCACCAGATAGGATGCTGATGGAGTACTCCCTGACTTGCCTAAATGAGTGCAGCTCCAACAACACTCAAGAAGATCGATGCCTTCATTTGCAACTAATACTGAACTCGTACCAACTACAATAGCTTGCATTTATTGTCAGGTAGACAACTCCAATGGACTGGCTTTAGGTTAAGTTGGATATTGCATTTACAGTGAGGAACTCAAGAACTATTTTGACAGAAACTTGCTTAAGCAAAGTTTTTAAAAATCTTTCTTTTTCCTCCCAGGAATGGAACGGTGGCACAATGTTTAGCACTGCTGCCTCACAGTGCCAGGGACGTGGGTTCGATGGGGACCTGGTTTGCAAATGAAGAGGGAAAAAAAATCCTGCTTGATTGGCACGACATCCAACAACTTAAGTGTTTACCTCTCCAACACTTGGAGATGACCATTGTCTGGCACTTGTGTGATGTTTGAATGTTATTTGTGGCTGCATACCATGTATAAAATGCATTGCAGTGACTCACTGAAGTTCCTTCAGTAGCACCTCCTAAACTGTCCAACGAGCTCATGGGAACACCATCACATGCATGTTCCCCACTAAGCCACACACCATTCTGACTTACAATGATATCATTGTTGCTTCACTGCTGCAGGGTAACTCCCTTCCTAACAGTACCCATGCCAGATGGACTGCAGCAATTCAGGAAGACAACTCACCACTCAAGGGCAATAAGGGATAGTCAATAAAAGTCAGCGACACCAACATGCCATTGAAGAATAAAAAAACATTAGATCATAAATTCTGATCTCTGCATTTATAGTGGAAAGTGACTTTACATACATGCCACACTATAATTACACCGTCCCACCAAGAGTGGTACTTCAGTACCTGCTCTGGTGAAATATGTAACTACCAATATGGCAAGTTTACAAGAAGTTTTTCTATTATAAATGTGGTCATAGGAACAAGAAAAGATGACAGGAATTGAATGTATTTTTTATATATGACAGGAATGTGCTACAGAATGGAATCATATAGATATCGGGGGTGTTTTGTATAAACTTCAAGTAATTAGTTAAAGAGTTCATATTGTTTTCAATAGAGAGTGAGGTTGAAATGTAATTTGAAATAGAATAAAATATACCCAGTAGAGTTAGTGATGAGAAAATAATTGAGGAATCTCATTGTTTTTGGACACCTTTGCAAAGGCAAACAAGGTAAAAAAGTGATTCAAGAATTGGGAGTTTGATGAGGTGACATGTTCCTCTGAGTCCCAATTCCTGCGTGGGAGGAGGGTATATGAAGTATCATCTGATCCCGTCACAGATTCCTCCACTACCTACGTTGCTGTGATGCTATTGTAGCAGGCACAAGGAAGTTCCCTGCTCAGATGTTGGAAGAAGACTTTGCACGAATCATAGAATCCCTAGACTGCAGATAAAGGCCATTCAGCCCATTGATTCTGCACTGACCTTTGAAAGAACATCACATCCTATCCCTGTAAACTTATATTGACTTCAGTTAACTTACCTAGCCTGCACATTATGGGGCAATTTAGCGTAGCCAATTTACCTAACTTGCATATCTTTGGACTGTGTGAGGAAACCACAGCACCCTGAAGAAACACACACAGACAGGGGGAGAATGTGCAAACTCCACACAGACAGTCACCTGAGGCTGGAATCGAACCCAGGTCCCTGGCGTTGTGAGGCAGCAGTGCTAACCATTGTGCCACCATTCCATTCCTGGGAGAAAAAAAAAAGATTTTTAAAAACTTTGGTTAAGCAGGTTTCTGTCAAAATAGTTCTTGAGTTCCTCACTGTAAATACAATATTCAACTTAATATAAAGCTAGTCTATTTGAGTTGCCTATCCAACAATTAATACAAGTCGTTGTGGTTGGTACAAGTTCAGTATTAGTTGCAAATGAAGGGGAAATTACATGTCAGATGTATTTTGCTGAACAATATCCATGGGATTATGTTAGTGCATCGACTACTGGAACAATGAATCTATCAGAGAGAGTGAAAGGGTCATTGAAAGCTGTAGACTTTTGGAAAAAGAACTGTTTGCAAAACATCTAACTTCATTTTGATTTCATTTAGATAGGTCTTCATTCAGACTGCAGACTGGAAGAATCTATTACAACATTCTGAACTGGAACCATTCACTATCTCAAACACATCAGTCACTGTCCTGTCAATGTTACATTAAAGACATTCATTAAAGACATTGTGGGGCTTGAGATGTAATCTATTTGTCAACTATGCTAAGACATCGGAGTAGGATTGAATGTTGGTATCACATTGGAGCCATTATACTAGCTGCCTAACTAATTTTATTGCAGTAAATGGACTCTCAGGTAGTCTATATAATTGTTTCTTTCACACGACAGCTCAGGGATTTCGCCCTGATTGTTTAGTAAAAACTAATCAATTTCCTTTCATGCCAATTTCAATTCACATTGAACACGGGGGTGTTAAGTGATGATTTTGGCTTTTTTTTGTCTCTGTTCATTGCAAACAAGGAAGGAACATGAACTCTAAAAGAGGTTACTACAAGGTTTCCAGTCATGGTGATTTTTCAATATAACCTGATTTGAAATAGGTCACAGTATTGTATGATATTTAATAAATTGGTTCCTAAGATGCACCAGGGAAATGGTGGGATCTGGTAATGTTACTGAACTAATAATCCAAGGGCTAATACTCTGGCAACTGGATTTAAAATCTCACCATAGTAGCTGGTAGAATTTAGATTCAACAAGTACAATCTGGAATTATTCACTGATGTTTACCATGTAACTACCACTGATGATCTTAAAATAAAATCTGGCATATGACCAGCCCTTAGGAAAGGAAGGTCTGCTGTTCTTTCTTGGACTGGCCTGTATAGGTCTGGAGTCACAGAATGTGGTTGAGTCTTAACTGTCCTCAGAAATGGCCTAGCAAGAAGTTCAGTTCAAGGGCAATTGGGGATGGGCAACA